TTAATTAAGATGGTATCTGCCAGATTTCTCCATTGTAACATTGCTATTTTCCTTTTTTCATAATCTATTCTCTGGAAGCAACTTACTAAGTACAGTTCACACTTAAGGTGGAGGTTGGGGAGTGAGCTCCATTTCTTGAAGAAATGTTCAAGAGTTGAATAGAAGCAAAGGTGCCCCTTTTAGTAGTAGTATAGAGTTAAAGCGTGAATTAACAAAGGAAATATGATATAATCAGGGAACTCACTTGAAGGTCTTTATCATATCTCAGTAGTTATGCCAGTAATGCAATATCCTACATTTTCTCTAGTTATAATAATCTGTTCAGTACTAGGGGCAGGTTCATAGAAGGAAGACAGCTGAACTTAACTAGGTGATTTTATTTTTTTCACACTGATTTAAAGAGAAAGAGAGACCTTGGAGGCGAGTGTATGTGTAAGGGAGAGACTACCATGATGAATGATGAACCCTAAATTGAGTAAGTGGGGAAGCGTGAACATGAATGGAGTGAGTAAAAAATGTGTAGAGGTCAAGAAGCTTTTGTGTTGGTGAAGTGAATGATCTAAACAATTTGGAGACCATTGTAAAGATTCTTTAAGGCTTCCCTGTACCTTGCTGATCCTATTTGCCCTTGTGATGGTAGAACCTGAAACACCTTTTCAGTCTCTTTTATGATACTCTGTTGAGTCAAGTTTACATTTCTTTTTGGTTCAGTCTTGCTAATTTACATTTTTTTGGAAATTATCTACTTCTTTGGGTTTTTAAATTTTTACCTAAATTTTCACCCAGGTTCTTTTATAATTCTAGCAAATTTCCAGTTAAGTCTTTTCCTATGCCTTTACAGAGATATATCTGAACAATTTTCGAGAATTTTTTGCACTTTCAAGCACAGCTGATTGAGTGGAAGGACACCACGGTGACTACCTGATAAATAAATAGCCCAAGCAGGGCTGGATTGAATTTGTTTCAGTGACTCTTGTCCACTTTATTTAACAGTATGGCTAACTACTATAATCATTTTAGAAATGTTTTGGTCGTGTGATACTGCTTTATTATAGTTCAACACATGTTAAGAAAAAATGGAAATTCATTTTTTGTTTGTTAAATGAATGAATTGGTGGCTACATATATTTTGATAACTACTTCAGCATGTGTGAAGGTACAAAATNAAATGAATGAATTGATGGCTACATATATTTTGATAACTACTTCAGCATGTGTGAAGGTACAAAATTGGAGTGGAACTGTTATTAATGAAATAATTCTAAATAGAATCAATGTGACTGTCAGTAGGGTTTTATTTTCTTAAATAGGGTCAAATTTTACATGTCAGATTCACCTTTCCTAATAGATTTGTTTGCTCTAGGCTCTTTGCTGTAGTCAGGTAGCTGTCCTCTAGAGTGAAAGATACTTTTGCTGGTTGCAGGCATATTAATTATGCAATACTGTATTTTGAGATGTAGTTACAAATACAATTAAACTATTGTACTGAACTTAAAAGTCTTATCATCACCTTAGAATCAATGAACAGCAATTTCACATTTCTTCAGTTATGTTCATAGATTGGTATGAGCCACACTTCCAGCCATGTAGACATGATTGACTGGGATTGGGGTGGTGTCTCAGTACTGTGATTCTGGAACAAGTGTGTTCTCAAAACCCCATCACTTGCCAAAAAAAAAAAATTAAAGATAGGAACAAGATAAGAGCGTTTTAAACAAGTTATATTTTCTTAGAATTAATCATTGAATCACCCATATTAAAAATAGCACAAGCTGACCTTATAGCTCAGTCATGGCTACCATTGAGATGTGGCCTTTAGCGACTTCAGTGAAGTCTAGCATAACTATTGATTAAAATATGCCAACAAAAGCTTTGTGTCTCACCGACCTACCGAAGGTGACCTTTAGAGAAAATGTTGACAAACATGGGAGAGTTACTTGACCCTTGCCATTCTGCATGGCTGCTGGGACTTGTGGGATGATTTGCAGTAACGTTCAAGGGCAACCAGGAGGCCCAGGGGCCTGGAACAAGGGGAGATGATGTTCACCTTTGTCTCTAGCCCTGCAAAATTGTGGGAATTTCTAAAAGCGAAAAGCTGGTCTTGGGGAATTTCTCGATTGAACCGATATAGTAGAAAAGACCAGATATGAACCATGAGAGTTAGGAGCACATTTCTAAGTAATAATACAGGTTTATGTCTATTTTCTTTTTCAAAGAAATCATAATCAGAAACGGGGGGGTTCTTTTGGTGAGCACAAAAATATTTGTGAGGATGAATAAATAACATTACATTTCTGTTAGTGTGTGTTCTTAGTATTCTATAAATTTCACCCTTCCTGAATATTTTTCATAGTATCTGGGATGGTTATATTTATCCACAAATCTGTCCCAGATGTCACTTATCACTGCTGAAACCATAGGACCAGGATCCCACTCAAGTAGCGGTATAATAGGTTATACTGGGGATATCCAATGCAGAATGTGATCACCTCATAAACATAGGTTTCCAGGAAAATGACAGTTTCCACCAATCCTGTGTAATTCACCACTGATGTGCCCAGAAGGCTTATAAAGGAAGAGTAGCAGCCCCTAGATCTTCCTGAGGTACATTGTCTAGGGATCATTTCTCTCTAGAGTTGCCTAGGTCTCAGAGCAAGTGCTATTGACCTAGAGATCTTAGTACCACAAGTCTTTTAATTATCTCTCACACATGTGTGCACACACCTTCCTCACACAGTTTCACACAACCAGCATCCCCAAGTCACATTCACAGAACCACGGTGCTGGATTGGACAGGTTTTGAGCATCAATTACTGCACACTGTACTAAGAACTAGCATCAGTCCTCATATCCCCAATACTTGGAACTTTGCATTGACTATGACTTGTCCTTTCAGAATTCTTATTCCTTTGTGATGGATGTCTTCCTAGGGGCTTGATTGGCCTCAGGGTCAGTTCTGTCCAGCAAATATATTTTTATATCCGTGACCTTCCAGCAGGTGAGAGTTTGAGTCCCTTTTTTTCCAACACCAAGAGTCCCTTCGCCTCTGTCTAAATGTCAGGTTAAGTAGAGGTATTTAAGTTTAGATCACTAGATTTCTCAATACTTCTGCTTCCCTTGATAGATTACCTTAAATGCCTAAATAAGGTATTTTATTTATTTGGTTGTAATACAATTATGTTTTTTATTTTAATTTTAACAGTAGGTAGTCAAAAAAATCTTAATTTCTTTCTTTAGGTTTAAATATATGTCACAAATATATAGTAGTCAGCTTTCTTATTTGTACCATAGGGAGACTGAACTAGATAGCAATTTTTCTACATTTTTATAGCAGCAAAAACTTATTTTGGGGGGATAAAATCTTAAATGATACTTCAATAAGTAAAATGACTTTTAAATAATATGGAATTAATTTTCATTAACAAAAAATTTGACTTCAGATTATAAATGGCATTTACAGACAATGCAGCATCTAATTTATTTTTAGTATTTTGTTGCAATTACAAAGAATATTTTAAAGTTTGTATTTAATGGACACATTATGAGCAGGTAGAGAGATCTGTTAGCATGCTTGCTTGTTGATTTTTAATTGCTTGACTTGAAATCTCATGATATGTATCATTAACAGAAAAGGCAGCCCCCTGGCTGGTGTCGTTCAGTGGTTAGAGTGTGGGCTCTTGCACTGAAGGGTCCCAGGTTTGATTCCCAGTCAAGGGCATGTACCTGGGTTGCAGGTTCGAACCCTGTCCCTGGTTGGGGTGCGTGCAGGAGGCAACCAATCAATATGTGTGTGTGCGTCTCTCTCTCCCTCTCCCCTGCCTTACTCCCTCCCCTCCACTGTCTCTAAAAAATCAATGGAAAAAATACCTTCTGGTGAGGATTAACAAAAAAATATTCTGTTGAACCACAGATGTTCTAGCTTGTTCTAAATCCATGTATTTAAACTTTATGTGAATACATATAAAGTTTAATAAAGTTTAAAGGGGAAAAGAGGCTCCTGGAAGCACAATCTTCCTGAAACAATTATTTTTCTTAAAGATTTTTGATATTTAATCATACTTGCACGACATCAGCATAGGTTACTTGCTCAGGTTATTTCTTCACTCAAGTAACCCATTTATAGTATTTCTATACCAGCTATTGTTATTGGCTATATTGTCAGTGATAGTTCATTTCTGGCTATTGTAGAAATACAATAAATGAACCACACTTTCCAAGGTTCTCTATGTCATTTTTAAGGAAGAATTTTTATGCTGTATATGGATATAACCTAACATATTGGAATGAAAAGTTTATTAATTCTTTAAAAAAAGTGATTATGTACATTTTAGTCTGGGAAAGTAGAAGTGTAGTTACTAGCAGGATATTGTAACCTCTTTAAATATTGCACTAATCATTTTGATTTATGGCACTGTGATTTTAAAAACAAGATATTTCTTAAATCATGTTTATGTTAAAGAACCTTTTAAAATTATTTTCTTGAAATTTAAGTTATCTTAAAACCTGATGATACAAATATTTTATTTTATTTTAGAATTAAATTATTTCCTTTAAGTAAACCAAATAAAAAGAAATAGATATTCATTGTGATTGTCACCAACTATGTAGCTATAACATTTTGATTAATTTTCCTTGATTTTTGTGTGTCTTGAAGATACTAATCTTCTAGGGACTAGAAAGTCAGTTAACTCCGGTGTAATGCTGATTAATAATATGGAAGGACTTTAACCTTTTTTCCATAGAAATATTTGAATAAATAACAGGTAAATAAATGAATGAAATTGGTTATAAATATTAGAAATTTACTACTTGCTTCTAGAATGGATATTTTTCTGCACTAAATTATATATGGTGCAATATTCAGTTCTATGTTTAATGCCTTATTTATATTCTAAGATTTCTGTTAATTTCCTATGGGTTATATTTACACTTTGTAGTCAGCTTTACTCTTAGAAAATATAACATTATGTAACATATTGAAATAAATCTCTTTTTTTAAGGAAAAAATAAGGAGATACCAACAGACTAAAAAGATGTTTTCAGAGGCATAGAATCTTCAGGAAGATACTGGAGTACATGAGATCTCAAGGTTAGTAGTTCATACATTATTATTTCCATGCTTTTACAGATCTGAGGTATAACTGTGTAACTGTTCCAAGTTGTTATCGCTAATGTATAATTATATAGTAAGGAAAATGTTCTTATTTAAAATACATATTTTCAACAAAATCCCTTCAAGATTTAAAAACACTTCCTTTGTACTATAAGTGTATTATTTAGTTCAATTGGGGGTGATTAAAAGATAATATTGTTTTAATAGAGAACCAAATTATAATTTGCTTCACTTTTTTAAAGGGTAGCACTGTTTACATTAAAATAAATATTAGACATCTGTATAAAATGTTATTAAATTCTACCCTTCCTTTTGTACCTTTGGCTGCAACACAGTTTACTCTTCGTTTTGTATCTTTGGCTACAACACAGTTTAAAAAAATAGCTAATCATCGATCCTTCTAAAATTCTTTGAATCAAAGTCCCTGACTTTCCCTCTGTACAAAGAAACTGCTTTTGTTGGAAATGTGCCTACAATAAAATGACAATATGAATGAGTAAAAAGACTATTTAAAGACCTTTTTAAGTTGTTTGGAGTCATAAGTTTGAAAAAGAAACGCAAAAGAAGCCCACCCTTTAAACAGCTTATTATTATAATACACTAATGAAAAATACTCATTTGCAAGTTTAAATTACAATTTAGGCTAAAATGATTCATTCTAATGGAATAGCTTGGGAAAGTGGATGATTTCTGACTTATTGTGGCGCCAAAATCAAAATATTCAAAATTTGAAATGAAAACATATTGATGACCTTTTATTTTGATTGCATTGATCAAGCTTCTCTTCAGTTTCTGCATCTTTTCATCACTGATCCAAAGATGCGTTCATTCACATTTGTTTGGAACTTACCATATGCAAAGCTAAGTGCTTTGGTTGTTTCAAAATGAGTAAGATATGGTTTTTGTTCTCAAGAATTGTCCAACCATATGTTACTCAGATATTAATTTTATCATTAACACAGGAAACACATAATTAAAAGGACAAGCTAGATTTAAAAGAGCATGCTATGAATTCTAAAGCCCAGTGGGAATGATTGAGGTATTATTCATTTTTTTACTTTTATTAGCCCAGAATACTGAGTATGTACAATGGGAGTGTTGCTCTCAGTACAACCCACATCCAACTGACTTTTCCTTTTCAATTTACTTTTTATTTTTGGCAGTATTACAGATGTCCCTTCCCACCTTTGCCCCTCTCCACCCAGTCCCCACCCCCCCAGGCCTTCACCACACTATTGTCTGTGTCCTTGGGTTATGCATATAAATTCTTTGGTTAATCTCTTCTCATCCCTCCCACCCCCCTCCCCTCTGAAAGTAACAATCTTTAAGTACAGCGCAAGTAAGTAATATGATATTCTAAGAAAGAAAAGTTTCTTTTTTGCCACAACTGCAAATCTAATGTTGTCGAAAATAGTATGCAAACACCTATGAAAAGAACGAAAGTGAGGACTGCCTACTTAGTGTTTTATTATTATTATTACAGTACATTTGACTTCTTTATTAAGCTCACCAGAGAATTAAATTATTTCCCCAGTGACCTAGAAAGACATGTGAATTTGAAAGGGGCTGAATGCTATAAACCCCTAAGTGATCCATAAGCACAAAGCAGATGGATGGATGAGTAGAGAGATTTTCAATGGAGTGGGAGTCCAGACTCTACCTGAAACGGAATACACTGCACTGTGCTTCTCATGAAAAACTTTTAAAAGGGTAATATCTTAAGAAGTTAAAGCAAGCCAAGTAATTAAAAATAGTAAAGTTCTGTTTTGAAAAGTCAGTGAAGACACCCCTTGCTTGAACTATGCCATTAGACAAAGGGTTGCATTAATTTATATAACCACAGTCATTCAACAGGTATTTAGCAAGGGCCTGCTATGTGCCCGAGAGCAACAGCATTGAATAAAATATACCAATATCCTTGCCTTAGAGGAAATTACATTCTAGGGGGTGGAAACACATAAGCAAAAAGAAAAAAAAACACACAAAAAAAACCCAGTTAATTATGTATTATGTTAGATGGTGATAGTGCTATGAAGAAATAGAAACAGGAAAGGGAATATAGAGTGTAAGGAGAGGTGGAATTTTAAAATAAGCCTAGTGATTTAGTACTGCATAATTTACACAAAAGAAATAGATACTACTTTCCACATAGTGCCGACTAAAAACAAGTGTGATGGAATATAATACCTATTGGTAAGTTTTCTGCATCATCATTTGTTAAGGTGAATGTTGTAAATACACGCTTTCACCCTCTGTGTATTTGCTTTACAAAAAGCTAACCCCAGGAACCTTTTGCAAATTTGTACCACAGCTCCACAAACTCTTCCAAACACTGACTGTTCCATTCTCTCTCAGATCATCACCCGCAAGCATACATCTTTGAATCTCACATCACCTGGCGTGCTGGTGGTGCTCGGGGAAGCTCTTCTTTCTCTGCCTTTTTCAGTGGTTCTCCAGATGATTTCCAGCCATTCTTATTCTTCCATTGTTCTTATGATTTATCTAATCCAGGTTCCTCAGCTTGAGCACTATTGATATTTTGATTAGATAATCCTTTGTTGTAGGGGCTGCTCAGTGTGTTGTAGGGTGTTGAGCTGCATCCCTGGCACTACACGCCAGTGCTACTCCACTCTCGGGTTGTGAAAACTGAAAATGTTTCCAGATCTTGCCCAGTGTCCCTTCAGGACAAAATTATCTCAAGATGAGAACCACTGTTAGACCCTAATTTACACAACCTCAATAAATGTCCACTCCATATCAGCCACTAATCCTCCTAACCACCTGCAGCATCTTGCTCTCAATTGAAACACAACTGAGACACTTCAATTTCTAGCCTCCCTTGTTAAATTGAAACTCACTTCTGTTTGACCATCTGTGTGTTTTTAGTTTTCTTTTATTTGCTTATAGATGATCTTGTATCTAAAACATAAGATTAAGTCAAGAATGAGCTTAGGTTACAAATAAAATTAAATCTTTTTTTCTCACATTTTCTTTGAGTTCAGTGAAACTTGGACCTTTCCACGTTCTCCAAGTCTTGCTTGAAATTTAGCTTGGACGTGAGCCTTTACATTTCTACAGCCTGCCCCTTCTTATGTTATACGTTTACCTTGAATCCAAACTATAGTGAATCTTCTCCTTTCTTATACCCAGGCACATTGAGTGCTACAGGAGCAAAATACACCACTCTGCCGATTTATGGTTTTCTAATCTGAGTTAGCCCCTCAGTAGCATTCACTAATCCTTTCCCTCTGACTGTGGTCAGCCACTATTTCAGAAGTTTATCACTCCACTCAAGCCATACAGTCTCTCCCCTTTGCTCTCTGTGCACTTGCTATTTTAAAAGAAAATTGAGGTCATTGTGTGGAAACTACTTGTGCATCCTTGCAGTCCTCCCCAGTATCAGACAGCTACATCTAACAACACTCTTTCTTTCCTCCAATCTAAAAGGATCAGGAGGCCTTCCTGCTATTGAAGGCAGAGGCTGTGTTTGATTTTGTTCCCTCTCACTGATGCCGAGGCTTTTGCCATTAGTTATTTTTCTTTTTGTCCTTGATCTTCAACTTTGTCTTCTTTGCTGGCCCCTTTCCTTCAACCTGTACACATTCTTCAAACTTCTATCCAAAAAAAGTAAATCAACAAACAAAAACGAACTGACCTCTCTCTTCACTAGATTTCACTGCTGCTGCTGTTCAATTTCTCTCCCCACAACTCATTCACACTCTCCATAGCAGCAGTATGCAAGCATTATCTCCACTTTCCGAGACTCAGCCACTCCTCAGCACAGTGCGATCTGATTTCCAACCCCATTTAACAGAGCACGCTCTCTCTAAAGGCACAGATGACCCGCAGTCCTTATCTTGACTGGCTCTCTCAGGGGTATTTGACACTGTTAACTTCGCTTTTCTTATTTCGTTCCCCAGGCTGTTGTGACACCCCTCCCTCTTGATTTGCTTCACACCTTGCACACCCTTCTGTAAAGGCCCTTTCACAGGCTCTTCTTTCTCTGTTTTTTTTCAGAAAGTCACGAATCACAAACTCAAATATGGCTAGGTGGCGGTAGGTAATATAAATTAGTGGAGTCAGCTAATTGAAAACAACAAGCACTCTATAGGCCAAAAACATGCCCACAAAAGTTCTTGATGTTTTACTTTTGCTCAAATGACTCCCTAGAGATCTACCCTAAGTTTATGGCTCATCTATTTTCCCTGCTCTTTCTGATCAAGCAGAGCCGCTCTTATGACTTTATTATTAACATAGAGGAAATGACTCTAACCCTCTCCTTCAATTATGCCACAGATTTACATATTACAGTACAAAACTGAGAAGAAAATACAGATATTTCCCATATATTCCCCATCCACATACATGCATAGATTCTCTCATTATCAATATATCCCACCAGAGGTGTACATTTGCTACAATTGAACCTGCATTGACACATCATAGTTTTCATCATAGTTTTCCTTAGAGTTCACTTTTGATGTACATTCTGACCAGGGGTGGGGAACCTATTTTCTGCCAAGATCCATTTGGATATTTATAACATTATTCACAGGCCACAAAAAATTATCAACAAAAATTAGCTATGAAATATCTCCTAGATTTATTGAATTTCAAGTCCTGCCTGGGGTTGCCTTGGCAGGGCCAGACCAGGACATTCCCCACCCCTGGTTTAGACAAATGTATAAAGACATGTATCCATCATTGGTAGTATATTATACAGAGTATTTCACTGCCATAAAAATCCTTTGTGCTCTACTTATTCATCTGTCCTTCATATACCCTAACCCCTGGCAACCGCTGCTCTTTTTACTGTCTCCATAGTGTTGCCTTTTCCAGAATGTCATATACTTGGAATCATAGTAGTATGTAGCCTTCTCAGATTGGCTTCTTTCACTTAGTTATATGCATTGGTTGCTTCATATCTTTTTGTGGCTTCATAGCCCATTATTTTTAGTGATGAAAACGATTTCATT